CCATCCACATTCAGGAATTGCTGATGATGCTGTGCGCCAGGTTACTCATTAACCCGAAAGCAATCCTGGTGGATTCTTCTGTTTGAATTTTGGTAAGCAGGGCAAACAGGAAAGAGAGATAGGGATAGGGGAATTGACGAGCTAAGCATGTTCAGAGCCAACAATGTCAAACTGACCCTAAGAGCCTTGCCAAGCCACCGGGACCAAGCCAAGTACACCGGGAATTGACCATATTAGGATAGGAGTTCAAAGGTTTAAAGAGGAAGACTCATCAGGGGACCCCTGCCCATGATGAAGTCAACCGGAACGGCCACTAAGATGATCCTCAAAATAGATGTCTCCGCCCACGCTCTGCCTACACCACACCTCTTATGAATATGCATGTGATATGATGTAACCCTGCACCCAAAACTGTATAAAAAGCCTGCCTCTGTTATGGGATATTTAGAAATCCCTTTTGTGATTTCTCCGACGCGTTGTAATAAAATACCTCCTGTCTATGCTGACTGAAATAGAGTCTCTTAGGCAGTTATTCTTGCCTTTTGGGGCAAAATTCAGCATCATTAAGAAGGAATGACAGTGATAACTGAGGGGAGATTTCTCCAGAATACTCCAAGCCCTTTCTCATAGACCCTTTCCTGCAACTAAACATCTCCCCTTGTCCATGTCTCAGAGATCTTCCTTCACCTTTGTTGCTGGAGCCCTGATTACTGCTGGCCAATGTTTTGTGAGGAGATGGACCTTGACGTGCAGGACACCTGGGAGTAAGCCCTGATCCCAATCAGTGCAGAGGAACAGTGAGGGCAGGGATCTGTCGTGGTGTTTGGACTTGGACAAAGAATCACCTCCTAAAGGAGAAGACCTGCCTGGGTGAAGGGATGGGTATTGCAGGAGGCAGAACAAGACATTCTGCTGCACCTGGGGAGAACAGAGACTCCAGATAGGCAGAAAGGTTGTTTGAGGCTTAGTGGAGAATGAGGGAAGCTGCTCTGTCCCTCTCTCCTGTTCCAACTTCCCTGGACTTGCACCTTTCTGAGATCCACTCCTCTGTTACCCTGGACAGCCAGGAGACACTGCTGAGAGCAGAGGGATCCCTGGCACACAAAGTGGTTCCTGCCTTTCCCAGAGTCAGGAGAGTGGGCTCATTGCCAGCCTCCCAGGCTGCCCTGCCCAGAGCTGCACGGGCACAGGGAGCTGGGACACCCCATTGCTGTGCTCAGCCTGCACAGGAGGAGCCCAAGGGCTGGGCCTGNTGCTGCTGCTGCTGGGCACAGCTGCTGGGCCAGCACTGATCTGCCCCCAGCTTTGCACACAGACATCGCTGCTGCAGCTCCAGAGAAGGCAACACAAGGGGGATCATTGGAGAAAACTCTGCTGCAAGTACCTTTATTTTGTTTAATGCTACTGAGAACACAGCCCACCATTGACACAGTGTGGGGTCACAGCAGAAATAGAAAAAAATGAAAATGGGCACAAACAATGACATTTCTTTGTGGACAATATTAAAAACTAAATCAAAGATAAAGAACCCACAACCAAACCAACAAGAAATATCAAAGATTACTTTTATTACATGTGACTAGCAGAAATTGGCAAGCATTTTAATGTTTCTGAAACCATCCATTCATCACTCTCCAGATTGCAGCCTTGAGCTCCTGATTCCTCAGGCTGTAGATGAGGGGATTCAGGGCTGGAGGCACCACCGAGTACAGAACTGACAGGGCCAGATCCAGGGATGGGGACGAGATGGAGGGGGGCTTCAGGTAGGCAAAAAAGCCAGTGCTGAGAAAAAGGGAGACCACAGCCAGGTGAGGGAGGCAGGTGGAAAAGGCTTTGTGCCGTCCCTGCTCAGAGGGGATCCTCAGCACAGCCCTGAAGATCTGCACATAGGAGAAAACAATAAACACAAAACAGCCAGAACTTAAACAGAAAGCAACCAATGAAATCCACATTTTTCTGAAGATGAAGTGTGAGCAGGAGAGCTTGAGGATTTGAGGAATTTCACAGAAGAACTGGCCGAGGGCATTGCCCTGGCACAAGGGTAGGGAAAATGTATTGGCTGTGTGCAGCAGAGAAAGAACAAAGCCACTGGCCCAGGCAGCTTCTGCCATGTGGGCACAAGCTCTGCTGCCCAGGAGGGTCCCGTAATGCAGGGGTTTGCAGATGGACCTGTAGCGGTAGTAGCACATGACAGTCAGGAGGGAAAGCTCTGCTCCCATAAAGAAGAGAAAGAAGAAAACCTGAGCAGCACATCCTGAGTAGGAGATGGTGCTGATGTCCCAGAGGGAATTGTGCATGGCTTTGGGGACAGTGGTGCAGATGGAGCCCAGGTCGCTGAGGGCCAGGTTGAGCAGGAAGAAGAACATGGGTGTGTGCAGGTGGTGGCTGCAGGCTACGGCGCTGATGATGAGGCCGTTGCCCAGGAGGGCAGCCAGGGAGATGCCCAGCAAGAGGCAGAAGTGCAGGAGCTGCAGCTGCCGCGTGTCTGCAAACGCCAGCAAGAGGAAGTGGCTGATGGAGCTGCTGTTGGACAGTTGCTGTCTCTGCTCATTGGAACCTTTTTAATGAAGCCCCAAACTGCCTTTCCAATCAGCATTTTGCAACCTATGTATCTTGCTACTGCACAAGAACATAATCTTGTTTTCATTGGTACTTATAGGCCATTATTGATCAAAATGCTTAGGCAGCGCCACAAACTGAAAATCAATCCTAAACAGTCCTATCCCATTCCACGGTTAGCTACTCACACGACCCCTAACGCTGGAGCCATATCCCATATCACCGGCGGGTGGTCTCACGGGGGTTCGCCCCATCCACATTCAGGAATTGCTGATGATGCTGTGCNAACAATTCCTGATTTGCAAAGCTTTCAGTGGTGGATGGAGAATGGGGTCAGGCTGCTTTTGGTGTTGAGGAAATGCTGAAACCAGCCTGACTCATTTCATCTCCTCATGCCCTGGCTGATCTCCCCTCTTTCCCCTTCCACCCATTGGCTTTTGCCTCCCACCAGCCCCGCAGTGAAGAGCCCAGCCCTGTGTTCTCCATCCCCTCCTCGCCGGCACTGCCAGTCTGGGATGAGGAGCCCCTCAGCCTTCCCTGTTTCGGGCTGGACAAGCCCAGCTCCCTCAGCCTCTGCCCACAGCCCAAGGCCTCCAGCTCCACCTTGGAGGCCCTTCCCAGACCCTGCTCGAGCTGCCAGACATCTTTCCTGCCATGGAGACCCAACCCAGGCCACAGTGACCTGGATAATCCCCGTCCTTGATGCCCTGGTCACATAGCCCTGGCCCCTTGTCCTCTGTCAGGCTCTGGGATAGATCCTGTGTAATATCTTTTGGTGGAGGCTGTGGCTCCAAGTGGGCACGGAGGATACCGGGGGACAGCGACCCTGCTGGGCATGAACAGCATTGGACTTGTTGTGAGAAACTGTGAGGGGGAACTGGGGCAGGGTGACCAACCCAGTGACCTCATACAGCCCCCCCCTGTGATGTCAGACAGCCCCGCTCTGACATCACAGCCTTCTCTGTGATGTCACAGCCTGTTCTCTACTGTCACACAGCTGGTCTCTGATGTCACAGCGAACTCTCTGATTCCATCGTCTGCTCTGTGATGTCAGTCCTCTGCCCTGTGATATCACAGCTTGTTCTGTGATGTCACAGAGACAGTCTATGATGCCAGAGTTGCTCAGTGATCTCACATAATCCACTCTGTGATGTCATAGCCCACTCTGTGACCTCATGTTATCAGATGATAAATTGTCTACACCAGGTGAGCACACACGATGCCAGTTCTCCAAAACCCCAGGCCTATGGAAACCACACAATGCCCATTGTGTGAGAAAGGGAACTGGAAGTTCAGCAGCCTCAGTGTCCTGCCAGCTCAGTCAGGCCCACTGGAACATTGGGGTCCACAACCACCAGGGACCACCAGAGAGACCTCAAGGACAGGAGAATGCATGGGTAAAGGGGAGGGGGAATATGTTAATGATTCTGGGGAAATGATTATCATATATGTGTTTACTCCAGGACAGTCAATGAATATGTATCCAAAATACAGAATATAAACAGAAACCTTCCAGCACTCAGCATGCACAGTTTTGGGAGGAGCTGTCCCCCGTGCATCCAGCCAAAAAAAGAATGCTGCTTCTTAATGCTACATTGGGGTTATGGAGTTTTACTATTTTGCCAAATTTTTGGTAACGATCCCACTGCCAAGGAAAGCTCTGTCTGATGCTGTTCACAAACAGAGAAGGGCATGGGGCAGATGTGGTGGTCGGAGGCTCCCTGGAGCACAGTGACCATAAAATACTGGAGTTTCCAAGATTCTGTGAAAGAAGGAGGGGCAGCAACAAAACTTCATCACTGGAATTATTCAG